AAAATTTCTACATTCTCCAAATTCAATTCATCTCCATACATACTTGTTATGTGTTATGTGGATTGAGATGACTGATGAAATGTTGTGATGTTTAATAGTCGATTGGTGTTCATGTAAGTGACGAAGGTGAAGAGGGTGATCACTTTGTCGTCTAATGTAGTATTGACTAGAGTTGTTTGTGTTGATGTTGTAAAAGATGTTTTGTTTGTGTTGTTTGGTTGTTGGTTACTTTGGTTTGGATAACAATGTTTGTATGTAATTTGTTGGTTTATGATGCACACCAATTGCAAGTGGTGTCAGTGATTTGTTGTGATTTCTGATAAATTCATTATGTATGGTGGGGTGATGTGTTTATTGATTTCTGTTGATGACGTTGTAGTTGATGATGTAGGGGATATTCATTTTCTGATAAAGATTCGTGGACATCAAGTAATTTCCTTCATTGCTCCGTGACGTTGTTGTACTTCAGTGTATTCTCGCTCTTTTGAATAGAGTTTTTCGGCAACTAATTTTGTGTGTTATTGGATTGTTGCTATTGTAGTTGAGGATTTGATCAGTGTTTGTGTGTGTGTTGGCTTCCTGTACACTTGAATTTTCAGCTTCATCAACTAATATCTGATGTTTAATTCCGTTGAAGTATTTAATAACATGTAATCCACATATATTCTCAGAGTTATTTGATCTTTTAGACGGTCGACCAACTCTGAGACTGAATTTTTGTAAAACTGATGCTTTGCTTTACAATGTCGTTTAAATAAAGAATCAGTAGGTTCGATAGCACACACACACACACGTTTTCTTTTTTTCTATCTGTCTCTCTATTACACTTGAAATGTAATCCATGAAGTAGTCATGATATGAACTCTTCAACAGTGCATACAGCGTTTTATCCTGCATACAGTTATAACTCAGAAGAGTCCCAAATGAGAAGTAAGTTATCTATACGATTGCTTGGTTTTCAGTTGCGTTGAAATTAGTTTAATTGATGCTTACCTGATGGTGTAGAACTAAGTAGATCTCATGCTCAATTAAAACTTGGTCGATTATTGTTACATCCAATTGTACATTGAATTATACTTACTGCTTCAAGCTAACAAAATAGTCTCTTTAAAAAAAGGAAATTAATAAAAGATAATTCAACAAAGAAAGGCAACTGTGTTTTTCTGTACAAACGGTATGACATAGCATAGAATGCCATAGTGTAGTATAGTATGGCATAAAGTAGTCTAATACTGCATAGTATAGTATTACCTCGTCTAGTTTACTAACAGCTCGTAAGCCCGGATAAACAGGCAAGGATATGCATACGGCTATCAAGCTCAACCAAGAAAATCAGTCCAGTCGCTAAAGAAATTTCAAAGCACTTACAAAATATACAAGATGAAAATGAAATCATTCGTCGCTGGAATCGGAAGACGAAATGATGCCGGTAGGTGAAAGCATTCGCGAAGCCAATTGACTGCTGCGTCTTCTCAAGATGAAAGCATAAGTAAGCAAACGGATAACGGAAAGTTCATTGATGCCTCTGAAGTGAAGACAAAAGTAACATAGGTTGCCACATACTATCACCCATCATTTCCCTCCTTGTCATCCCCTGCACTGCACTGCACTGCACTGCACTGGACTCGACTCGATCATACAACACACAAATGTGAGGAGTGAGAAGATGAGTATAGGCTGGCTGAAACAATCAAAATACTCTCGAAAATTCCCATTTCAACAACGATGATGATGATTTATGTCTAATGTCTCCTCACAAAAACTCGGAGATCTACACGTGAAAACCAACAAGTTGGTAGAAGGCGGCTAGACGACATGAGGCAGTATAGGAAGACGGGAACTCCTTCAGGTGTATGTAGAGAAGACAGAGGAAGGTGATGAAGATACATAACCAACGACAACAACAAAAACAAGAAGAAGAAGAAGAAGAAGAAGAAGAAGAAGAAGAAGAAGAAGAAGGAGAAGAAGGAGAAGCAGTAATCACCATCGACGGGATAAATCTAAAGCAAGTTGTCTCTTCCACCTACCACCTAGGCAGTATCGTCTCTGCTACAGACAGCATCGACGGCACAGATGAGAATGTGAAAGCCAACATAGGAAAGACAACAAGACACGCCTTCGTTAATCTGAAATAATCAGTATGGATATCTACTGCACTGCACTACACTGCACTCAGCATGAAGCATGAAGCATGAAGTACGAAGTATGAAGTATGAAGCATTAATTCAGTCAATTCAATGCTTCTATGTGATGGTTGAGAGATTTGGAGCGTTACACCAAAAGCATTTCCTTTCAACAAACTGCAGACATACATTATCAGCAGCTGCCACCTACACCTACACATACACCTACATCTACACTTACACCTACACCTACACTCACTCGATACTCACACTGAAGATGATCAGATGGTCAAAATAATAAGAGTAAGCAAGGAGGAAGTCACTCTGACTGGCAACCAACCAACCAAACAACCAACCAATAAACAACCTATTGCTGAACGTGTATGCAGAAGAAGAGAGTGGTGATGGGTTGTATTGTATTGTATTGTATTGTATTGTACATAGACTGAGAAGATGGTTTTGTGTTGAGGGACATCACTCAGTAGGCCAGGTGAGGGTAGGCCGTCGAGTGGAATGGGAATGTGAATGGGAATGGGGAATAGGAATGTGAAATGACGAGTTGGGTGTGTGAGGTTGTTGACAAGGCGGAGATGGTGTGAGGATGAAATGAGAGGTTTTGGGTGGTGGTGTATCGAGGTTGATAAGACTGTAGAGATGAGAGTGAAATGGGTATGTGCTAGAGAATCTCTATATTGCACTAGGAACTCAACGGACAAATAATAATAATGATATTGTTTTATCTGTTGTACTGAAATTTTTTTAAACATATAGTTGCAAATGGATCAGTAATAAACACTGAAAGCTTTAGGGATGGATGTATAGGAGTCACGGCATTTCTAAACCTTGCACTCAGTCTGGCAATATGAATGAATGTTTTTCTGTGTAACATTCTGATGAATATTAAACGACTGTAACAATCTCCATTTTATTCGACGTGGTTTTCGAGGATAGAACTAATTTTTTTAAACTGCTCATTCAAACTGTAACTGGTTACTGATTACTGACTAGTTTCAAGGTGGATTTCGTCAAGTTTCAATGGAAATCGCAGTTATTACTTAGGAATAGTGTTCATTGAGCCGATTAGATATTGATCGAGCTATATGGTTATGTAACTGAAAATAAGTTTCAACTCCTTGGTTGAGTAAGAGACTAAAAAGTTGTGGATTTGACCTCATTTAGTATTAAGGCTTCAACATGCTATGTATTTTCGAAGCAAAGAGAAGGATTTGTTGAAGGTCATTCGACTTTCAACAAATTTCTTGGTTATAACAATTATTCATTAAAAAAACACCTTCACACTGTCAAATAATAAACTTAAGATTATATAACTTCAGTCATGATTCGATTTATTCATTGGAAAATTATACAGTATGAACTTGGAATGTTATCTAGTAAAAAAGAGATCGCTATTCCTTGATCTTCTCATCTCAAAAGATAAGATTATAAGAAATTAGATTTTTAGCTGAATATTCTTTGTAGATGAAAGTTAACTTCACTGAAATTGTCAGCAGAATGTTTGAGAGAACGGTCCATCAACACTTGACAGAAAAATTGATGTTTACCAGAATAAAAAGGATTATATTACACACTAAGAGCTTAACTGATGATATGCTGAATGTATGTCAACGTATACTGCAAGTGAAAATGTTAGGCTTCGTCATTCACATTCTGTTTATATGATATCATCTTGAACAGATGTCAAGCCTCAAAAGAATAGTTCATTTCTTCATAAGACCTGACGTTATATTCCTAGGTTCCAGTCATTTTCTTTCTGAACATGAATTTCAAAACAAGGCAGAATACTTGTCAAAGAAGCAGTTGGGTGTTTATTTTAACAGTTTTCAAAACTTGTTTGTATTGTGTTCTCTGAGCTGATTGTTTAATCATGAAGCTTTCATACTGAAGTTAGTGCTGATGATGTTGTCCAGAAAGACGATGAAAGCTTCACGATTAAACAACCCAGTTCAGAGAACACCATTTAACCACCTGATCTACAAATACTCTTTATTATCTTGAACGTTTTCAAAACTTCTTGTGTTCACAAAAGATAAAAGAAGCTGATGAGCTGATTATTTCCTTGAAAACCTGGTCAGTAACCTAGAAGCCGCTGGTATGAATTTTGCTCCGACCATAGTTTTCTGTGTACACTTTTTATTCCCACTCGAATTCAATGACAGCAGTCTACCAGGCCAAGGTTACCTCAGATAGTCGCATTAATAATAAACAAAGACGTAATGTGACATTCCCATTCCTTTTGTTGATATTCTTTCGTTTTTCTTCTCCAAACTTCAAAGTATTGAAACGTAGCACTACGTTTTTTTGAAATCCTGAATTTTGTTTATCAATACTGTTAGTCTCAATTTAGCTTAGTAGGTATCCATCAATTACCACTTTTCAATGTTCAATTCCAACTGAATCTACCAATCTGTTTCCACCAGTATAACAGATTCCTCAGTGACTTTCTGTAAGTCTATTTCAACTTTAAAAGATTAGATGATTAGCCATCTCATTTCGCCTTAAAAGATTCAGCATTGAATTAATTTAAATGACTGGTAATGTGCTGGCTCTGGAACCTGAAGGCCTCGGGTGCGCACGGCTGAGGAGTCTCATAGTATGACAAAACAGCTGTTCAGTGCTCCCTGATTTCCAGTGTTTCTCCAACTGATATCAGTCCTTGATGTTCACCAACTTAAAATCAATAAATAAATCCATATAAACCTCCAAATTAAGTGAATATTTGTTATCCACTGTTTTTAATTACTATTATGTCACTTTCAAGGAGTAATTCCCTTTTCTTTTTTCAATAATCACAATAAAACCTCTTAAAAATAGATTAACCTACTTTTTTTTTCTTAATTTTTCAAATTGTGTATATAGTTTGACAGTGGTGAAAGAAAATCCTCCACAAAAATATGTACCATACACTTTTGGAATGGTAGTGAAATTAAAGTACACCCATCTACTCCAGAAACATTAGAGTAAGTGACTCATATCTGTCACTTTTTCGTGTTGTTTAAATTTAGCTTTAATATACGTTAATTTATACTAAAAGGATAGAATATTCCAGAGTAATTTCCGATTAAAGGTCAGTTTAAATTCCGTCACAAAGGGAAGTTAAGTAATGAGTTTCGACTTTCTAATCGCTAATCCTTCAGGTGTGTCCAGATACCTTAGCCCCAATTCTTTTAAGCGGTTTGATTATACTTTGTACAGAATTCTGAAGAACCAAATGTCCTGAGTTCACTAAGTGTTCTGTTACAAAACTGAGGATGAATTTCTGTTCTTCCCTTGTCAGCCAAGTTCGATAGTGTTCATGAGTGCACTGCATAAGCTGGTCCATGGCACGGCTGATGTATGTTCTGTTTAAGGACCTTGACCATCTCTTTATAAAGAATACCTGTCACATTATCTCCCTTGAATTCCGGATTCCGTGGCGTTTTTAGGCTTGAGATTCTTACATATTAACTTCAGTGGGTACCCATTTTTCATCACGATTTCTTGCACGTTTTATAGTTCACCTTCGATGGTATCCTCCATCCATATTCTTCTCATTGTTAAGGACAGTAAATTGATAAGATTCTTCTTTCTATTTAAGAGGAGAGTTTTAAAAATTAATAAACTGACAGCTCTAAGTGGGGTTTCTGTAAATAGATCTCTGGACTATATTGTCATTTTTCCCTTGAAGTTGGACATAAAGTAAGTGGAAGCTCGCTGATTATTTATGATAAGATCGTGTTTTCCAGGCTTGGTATTAAGCAGCCAGCTAGGAGGGATCTCAGAGGCGATCCCATCACCGCGTCATCTATCTGTTTGTATATTTCAATTATTAAACCTGAAGGGCACGTTGAAAGTAAATTTGAGAAGTTCCTTTAAATAGCGATTTGGGATACCGATATCTAATTTATGGGACTGAAGGAAGCTATATAGAGAACAAATGGTATCCGTTTGCGGGACTTTCGTAAATAAAGAACTGACATCCAAAGAGATCATCCTTTTTCCTGACACAGTGAGGTTTTTGATTAAATCAACAAAGCGAAAGATGTCATGCAGTCTAAGTTTCAAAGTTTCCTTCTTCCCTGGATATAGTATCTTGACAAGCCATTTTTCAACATTGCCTGGTCAGACACATTGGCATACTGTCAGTACTTTTGGCATATAACTTATTCTAGAATTCGGGACTGAGTGATGATTTTTAATTAAATGGTTGGAGACAATTAGCGGAAAGCCTAGGTTTCTTGCTTGTCAGCTCTCATTAACAAGTTACATTTGTAACCTAAAAGGGGAACCGATATGTCTTCAGAGATGTAAACCTATTTCTTCCAGTGTACAATCCTTCCGCTCAGTTGATTTCTAAGTAAAATCTTTGACAGTAAGCTTTAGTGATGTGAATTTGAATTTCTAGGGTGATAGCAGTTTCTTAAAGTCTACTGTTAAAGCATGACTTCTTAATGACTGTCTCAACCACATCGATAACGTCGATACAGATGTATTGTTATAGAATCCTGTGAGTGCCGAAGACAAGTTAACATGACAAAGGTTATTGTTCAATGCCTAATCTTTGCAACATAATGTTTAAATGGATATTAAATAATTAGTTGATACGGAGAAAAACAGCTTTTTAGGAGAATACAAATAAAATGAAGATCGAAACATGAAAATAAAATTATGGTTAATCAATGAGGCGAAACAAGGGGAGGTTAATATATGCTAACTGAATCACCGCTGACACGGGTTATGTGACTTTCATATTAACAGACAGTTAAATCGAATGATTCTTGTGAAATGTATAATTCAAGTTAGTAAGTAATTAGACATTTGAGTGAGAAAAGGTGGAATTTCATCCCAGTTGTGCCTGAGAAACCAAAATATTTTGACAAAAACATGTAATCTACTCGACACTAATAATAGGACCAAGATTGTGAATTCTGTACAACACATAAAACTGTGAACAGACTGAAGTGATCGAAGCATCAGATAGCCATTGCACCATAGAATAAAAAATCTGTTAAAGTTTTTTCTGAACTTATTTTGTATCTCCTCACAGTTTTGACTGTTCGTAGTTTCATCATTTCGAAGAAGACAAACTCTTTCTACTTATGAAGGAGGCTAACCTATTTGATAAACTAATCATAAGTTAAATCTAACTTTTACTTAGTTGTTACCACTTATTAGGTGAGAGTAAACTAAACCTGAAGTAGATTAGATTCATCTTTCACTTGCCACACTGGAAGATGTTTCGCACATTATGAAAAGGTTACATATTGCTTATCTCGCCTAGTTACTAGCCGGTCATAAGCCCGGATAAACAGGGAAGGTTGGGCATGAGGCTAGTAACCCTAACCCAGTAAACCAATTCAATCGTTAAAGAAACTTCAAAGCATAGACGAAATATAAAAAATAAACTTACTCCTCTCTGGAATCGGAGAGATGAAATGACGCCGGTTGGTAAAAACTTTCACGAAACCAATTGGCCGATGTGCCTGCT